GGATACAGTTTTATTTTTGGTTTGGCAAATCTAATTTGTCAGTTGATGAGCGAGTTCTCTTATGGAAACTCTTCAATTTTCTTCGACTGATAACAGAACACTCAGATTTCTATTTTCTGGTTCTTCAACCACAGGTTTTTTACTTTTAAGAAGCGAACCTATTCGTCTCAGTTGTTTTTCAATTCGACTAAATTTCCAACGATTTGGATGAACTCTATTTGAGTATTTTTCTCTATACTGTCTTTCAACTTCCGCTCTATTTTTATTGCACTTAAAAAACACTTCAAGCTTATCTACCAATTCGTCGTGATTAATATAATCCATCATTAAAGATCTCAATAAGATTTATTGACAAATTAGGCTTTGTCAAACAAACAAATAAACGGTATCCAAGCATATTGCTTTTTGCATGAATACCTTAACAAGTAAAATCTGAGTGCATTATGTAAAAGTAAAATGTAATAAATAGTGGTTTACCGTATTTTTCATGCCAATTATTATTGTTTCGAGCAAAAAAACATAGGTGTTCCATTTGAAAAACTAAATTTGGTAGCATTTCCGGCTACACCGGACGTGCCAAAAAAATTTGATGCATTTACTAAGAAAAGGAGGAATGAATAGTATTATTTGAAAAACTAGTTTTTGAAAAAAAAAGTAAGTTTAGGTGTTATCGGCCGGGGCGACTTGGACCGAACACCCGGTTTGTAAAGTGTTTCGGGGAATCGATTGGCGTCAAGAAAACTGCAAAATTCGTAATAGTTTTGAAGTTACAGTGAAATTTATATTTTCTATATTTTTGACTTTATCAGAAATTTTCTTGATAACTGTTTATCGTAGAACACTAATCTTTTTTGTATTTGATAGGAAATTAAATTTTCTATCCAACGGTACCAAACTGAAGAGGTTATCACCCGTAAGTCTAGAGCTATTGGCAAAAGACCGTTCCGAGTGCCAAAAATCGTCCAAAATGTCGACTAAAATAAAAAAAAATCATTTTTTTATATTTCTAGAGTTCTAAAGAATTTTTCTAACATTTTCCCTATAATCTGCATATGCATCTCAACAGCGTAGCACTTGGTCGAACGCCACTTTTTGGACATCCTGTATACTATGTGTTGTCACAGTGGTCGCCAAGCCACTAGAAAAACAATCAGCGCGACCATTTTTTAAGAATCCAGGAGGCTCTTTCTCTCGCTTTTGACATAAATTCCAGTGGCGTAACCAGTTTTTTGCCCTTCTTGTCATCAGATAAATCCGTCATTTTGCTTGAAATGATCATAAATCACGCAAACTGCACAATTGACGTGCTTTCTTGTAGAGTTATGATGCGTGTTGTTTTGACACGATGATTAATCCTGGAAGCGAGTCCAAAAATAAGTGTTGCTTGGTCACCGGAAGATCCCCGACATATGGCTTGGTAAACACCGGTGTGTACATTACGGTACTGAGATAACGCGTCCCAAGATGAGCACGTTACTTCCGCATGCATTTACTACTAACACACAGAAGCCTTCTGCACAATGTCCAGATAAGATTGTTCCCCAAGTTGATGACCTCCGGGTCAAGAAAACAGCGGCGCCTGTAGACCAGTTCTGCAACTCCTCTGCACTTTTACTGTTATTACTCTTCTTCGGTTAAAATTCGAAAAAGTTTGCCGTAGATGGCGATTCGTGACCACTCTAATTGGATACTTTGTTCGAGATGTCGCTGATTTATGCCAACTGCGCCCACGGCTAATTAACAGCGAGTGCTGATGGTTGAAACAAAGAGTTCACACCCTAGACCAGCTTGGAAATTCGTTGAACTCGAAAGACAATCACACGGGACGCCTACGACTCGAACCTTCACTGCATATGCACTTAATTCACTCGCCTCGAGCTTTTGATTTTTCTTTATTGGAATTATATTACTGAGATGGCGTGGATACCATGTGGGCGCACTCGATTATAATAATAATACATACTACGACTTTGTAATTAACTATTTTCGGATTTATGGGAAAGGTATTTACTCTCTCACAAATGCACAATCGAAACTTATCTAAATTTAAACTGGAAGTTTGTTCAGGGCTCACAATTCGGTTTATTTAAACGAAAGAAGTAAATAATTCTTATCGGCTGCGAGTCTAGACGCCGGGTTTGTTTTCCCGCTAATCAAAGCGGCCTGTGACTTGGAAATTAAGTTGACAACACCGAATTATTGCTTATTGCTGATCTATGTGACGGCTATGTCAGCGACCGCCCCTCAGAAACGAAAACAAATTGACGACATTTGAATTTGACAGTCAAACATAATAACTGATTCACCCTGGACATTCGTATTTTTACTCAAAATTCGTCGTAATTTATCGAGACTTGATAATATTACAAAAAAAGTCTAAAGAAATGAGTAAAGTTGAAAAATATTAAAACAAAAATGGAAAATGTCATTTCTTTCAAGAACATTTTCTGAATCATTATCTTTCCTGAACAACTCTGTATGATAATATAATTATTTCAAAAGTTTTACATCTTTAAATTTAATAAACATCTAGAAATAAATTTTTGATAGAACATTAAAAAACCTGCAATTACAGTAGAACCTCTTTAATCCGACCCCGCTTTTATCTTACACAATGGCCACACTTAACCCCATCCTTTCAAAAATAGTTTGCGTGTTGTACAAAGTGCTTCAATAAAGAGACGAAACCAATTTCAATCCGTTACTTTTAGCACCACTGTTGTCAAATCTACTATTATGCTACATTGCGCATCAATTTTTAACATTTAAACAAAAACTCTACAGAAACAAGCAAAATCATCCCAACTAAATCACCCTTTATCAGAAAGTTTTTTTTTAATATTCTCAGTTTTGTCAAAATCGAAAGTTGTATCAATTACAGGATGTTTCAGATAAGATGATCTATCAAAATTTCTTGGTTTTTGTGTCGCTGTCTATACAGAATGTGCCAGACTCGCGACCCAAAGAAAAATTTCAAGTAAGATAAGATACCAGGAACCAGGAAAAAAAAATGTTTAAGAAATTCTATCTGTCAAAAAATTTTGACATTTATTTTTTGCAATTTGATATTTTTTTATGTCTATTTAATAATACTAATGATCTTGTAATGTTTTTTTATAATTAACTAGTAAAGGTACACAAATTTTGCCAATAAAAGCCACAAATAACATTAAACAGAGTTACAATTTAGGATACAGCTTCCTTGTTTCCTCTTCTAATAGCCTGTAGCAAAAAAAATTGAAAAATAATTTTTCCAAAAAAAAAAAATTTAACTCTCGTAACGTCGAAATTTTTAAAGATAGAATTTTTTAACTTTTTTTTTCCGAGTTCCTGGTATGTTACCTTATATGTTATTTTTCTCTGAGCTGCGAGTTCTGGCGCACCCTGTATAGATAACAGCATCAATATTTTTTGGTAACTCTTGTTATGTCAAACTTTTTGGTAATTTCTTTAATGCTACTACAGTTCCCTCTGATTCATTAATTAAAATTCAATACAGAATAATTCAACAAGAAAGATTACTGTCAAACATAGCCGTAATTTTGTTTGAATAATTAGAATCAAATACAAGGTGATTTCAATGATAACCTAATCATAAAAAAATAGTTTTTCTAGTACATGTTTCAATTATCCTATTTGCCTTCAATTTTAAGAAAATTTAATTAAGCTTAAGTACACGGTGATTCAGCAAAGATATCAAACCTGTTTTTTTTTTCAAATATTTCAATAATTTCAAGACTTACATTACGTTTTTTATCTATTTAATTTTTCCCGAGTATTCAGTTAATCTAGAGTGTTAGCCATATCAGCCAATTCACTTCATTATTTTAACTAAAATTTCGTCATAGTTCATCGAGATTTGATAATTTTGCAAGAAAAGAATAAAGAATTCAGCAAAATTAAAAAAACAAAAATGGAAAATTGAAAATTATTTCAAGAATATGTTTGACTTGAGTGCATTATCTTCTTTCCTGACAACTCTGTATGATAGATACAATTGATTCAAAGGTAGGGAAAGACACCATAGACTATTGAATGTGCAAAAAGTGACTTAAAAACCACAATTTTATTTATTAGATTTTTTACATGACATTTTTTATTTTATTTTTATTTCACCAACAAATTAGTAAAGATTAATTAATAGTAGGATTTATTACTAGAAACAGAAACAATCTAAAAAAATCACATCCAGCGAGAAAAAACAAAATTTTTGATGGCCAATGTTGATTCTTGTTTTTGAAATATACTTTTAGCAGACTCATCCTGTATATTTTGTTATTTATATACTTTGTAAAAAACGATAATTGGTTCGCATTATAGAGGTTGTACTGTATTTGTGATTTTGTGCAATCTTGATTCAATTTCTTGACTGGTGAATGGTATAGTAGATCCATTCACGTAAAGAGAGCGAATTTTGAGTTCAAGGTAGGTCAATTGCACATTACCATACAATCAAACCGATTATAGAAACCGAAATGACAGACACCGGTACTCGGAAGTACCTGAAAATTCCTGAAGGCTTTTGACCGCACCCTTCAAGGGCTTCACGCTGCGAGCGGGGTTCTGTGGGAACCACAAGAATCCGAATTTGTATTTTTGCGGAAAGTCGGCCATTAGAATCGATAAACGGAAACGGAATAACAACCCATAAACCGTTCAATGTTAACCGGCGTTGAGAGGATGTTTATTTGTAAATTTTCTCAATTTGGTAGCTAATTACCCATCTGGATTACCACCAAACATGGCTATGAGAGCGGCTTTTTTCGGAACTTCTCACCATTTTCGGTTCAAATTCCGCGAAAACGATAAGCCGATGACCACACGTTTGTGAATCACAAGCTAATGAAAGATCTTAGTTGGCTCGGCCGTCAAGAATTACAAACAAAACAAAGCCTGTAGGTAGCAGCCAACTGGGCGGGAGTTGGCCTCACCTCGCAGGTGCGTCCTAACCGATGCACTTTTTTCGGTTATAACCGCATGCCACTTGTTGCGCCACTCACCAATAATCGTCCTTAGAGCGACTGTGGGCCCTCACGGCGTGTTGGGCGACACTGAATCCGAAATAAGAGTTCTTGTCTCTGGATTTTTTCACGATGGGCTCGCGGAACTCGATGTTGAAGCTTAGCACTAACGTCCGGGAGGTTAACACTGCGAAGAGGAGGAGGCGAGTCCAAGAATTCATTTTGACCGAAAGTCGAGAAGGTTTCAAATATTCGAGAGGGTTTACTACATTCGAGGGGATTTATACCATTTTAGCGATGTTTTCGCGAGGGGATGCACACGAGACCCTCACCACTACCACGCCAGCATGATTGTGACTGAGACGAGGAGGACCGAGGAACTCCAACGGAGACTTCGACGAGTACAATGTAAATAACATCGAAATTGCGCCTGCGTCACAGTGAACTGTTCGAAATTCAACTTTTTGAACACGCGCCAACAGTGATACCACCATTTCTGGTGATTTTTGTGCCAGTCTGGTGCTTTGGTAAAAATCTGTGGTAAAAATTCTAATATCTGATGATTTTTTACAAATGGAACCCAGTTACAGCAAAAAATTAATATATTTTGATTTTTTTTTATTTAATCGATTAAAAATTCGATTTTATTATTTTTTTCAACTTTTGGTCATTTTTAACTAGAAACTCAATTATTATATCAAATTTTCTTGAAAATAATTCGAAAAATTACCAAATTATTTAAAACAAAGTTGTCTTAGGTATTAGTTTTTTGTGAGATTTCATTTAACGCTCTTAACAGAGCTAAAAAATTGCTAAATTGGGTAAAAAAGCAAATATTTTGTGCTTTTTCGAAAAGTTCTAGTTTGTTTTTCGACTAGAAACAGAACTTCTTTGTGAAATTTTGTTAAAAACAAGCGGAAAATTCATGAAATTAGGCCAAAACTAATGTTTAAGGCCATTATTAAAATGCAGTGATCGGCAAAATTATGGAATAACTTTACTAAAAGTAAAAATAGTATTTGGTTTTGGCAAAAATACCCAAATTTCAATTTGACTCCAATTTTTTTTTAACCAATTTGATAGATTTTTTTAATTGTCGAAATGACGACACCAAAATATTAAATATTACTCCTACATAAAGTATTCGAAAAAAATCACTAAAAAAGTGAAATACTTTTACAAAAAACAAACAAATTAGAATTTTGTATTTTTTAGGAAGAAAATTGACCTGTTTGAACATTTTTGTGAAAATAAAATATTTTCAGTTTGCATAAATAAGATTTATCCGCAAACGTCACAAAAGTGACCACTTTTATGACTAAATAACACAGGTAAAAGTTAAATTTTTCAGACATGGAGTAAAAACACTGTTTTTACGCCTAGGCGTTTTTACTTTTACTTGACACTTACTTTGACATTTATCACTGTTGTCTTTTTCTTGTCTCTTTCAGCATCTTGTCTTTTTCAGCATTTTCTGGAGAGGTACAAGGTAGATTATCAGCATTCGACATTTTGCACTATAAACTACACCAATTATTTACCAGTTAAAACAATCAGCACTTTCGAAATGTCAACACAAATTCCGAAACTGACGCGTGACGTTTGTTATGATTTTATTGTAAAGCGTCCTGATTATTGAGGTGATTTACTTGCTTATTGGTGTGTTCCTCTTTCCTCTCCATCTGAATCGTTTGCAGATAAAATAGTATATGTTATTTGGAGTAAAAGTGAGTTTATGTGGCTCAGCTGAATCCATTTGCCTCACTCCGTTCGGCAAAATGAACGTTCAGCTTCGCCACATAAACAATCACTTTTACTCCTAATAACATAATCTACTATATTCCATAGTTTTGCTGCTCACTGTGTACACAAAGTTTTGCTGAAATTGACTGAAAAATTACAAAATTAGATTGAAATTGATATTATTCCAAGTTATTTCGCTCGATTTAGTTCGTTTTTGAACCAGAGGCAGAAACGTACCGGGTCACTATAAATTGTTTGTGACAAAAAATCTATTGGTAATACTGAATTATTAGTAACCCTAATTTGTTATATCAGAATGTCTCAAGTGACGGCTAAATTAGCAGTCGCCCGTCGCAAATGAATGACAATTGCCTACAAAAGTTTGACGTTTGAAAGTCAAGGTTGCCAAATTAAAATTTTAAATTTGATATCAACTTGAAGTAAAAAATCACAATCATTTATAGTCCACCCGGTATATAGGTATTTTGCAAGATCTTGTCAAAACATACAAAAATAAATAATTGATGTTATTACGTTTGTTTCATTTTGTTTAGCTTGTTTTTGAGTAAAGATTTCTCAAAAAATAAGTTCAAAAAACACAAAAGTTGATCACGCTTTTTCAATTTTTTAACAACATTTTTGAACTAAAATTAGTTTTCGCCAAAATTTATTTTTACTCTTTTTGCCTTTTTTAAGTGTTTTAAATGTTTTTTAGGTAACAACGTAAATTTTTCCCAAAATTTTGGTAAAACAGGCCGAAAAATTACAGAATTAGATCAAAAGTAGTGTTATTTTTGACTTTCTCTAGAATTTAAACACGTTATTGAGCAGATTTGCGAGATGTAAACTTTCGACAGTTTTCGAAAAACCACTAAGCGCCAAATTGAGGCTAACTTTACCAAAATTAGAATACTTGATAAAAAGGAAAGATTTATGTAAATAAGTCTCTTAATTGTTATGGAGGCATTTTTATTAACTCTGTCCACACAAGAACTCCCTGACCAATTGTACGACATTTAAAGTGTCATTTATAATTAATCTTAATTAATTAATGTCTCTAAAATGGAAGGGGAGAATAATGAATAAACATTGAAATTTAGTACCCAAGTATCAGAACCAAGACAAAAACGAACGAAAAATAAATTGGTAAAAATCCCTCCACCACGAGTCAAATCGCCACTTTACCCCACCGCACCCTACTCGAATTCCCCACTTTATTCGTCCCGTTTTACAAACTTTGGAGCTGAGGTCAATATTAGTAAACATTATTAAACCAATTATCGACAATTATAGCTTGTCCAGAAGAAAAAACAACCTTGTAATTCTCATATTATACACCAATTTCAACTTGTGACCACTAAACCGATCCCGGAAGTGTGAAAAATGCTACAAGTTAGCCTCTGCTTTGTTCAAGTTTAATTCCTGGTGTTTTTTAGTATTAAAACAGTGTTTTAAGTGCAATGTGAGTGTTTTTCTGTTCAAAAAGTGCGCCATTTTTGTGACATTTGCCACTTTGGCAGTTGAAATTTAGGTTAGGCTCCTGTCAAAACCATATGTTTTATCAGTATTACTAGTTAAAATTGAAAGAAAATGAGTCAAATTTTGCTAAAACTGTTCCTATTTACGGGTATTCTAACAACTGGATATTGCAATCACCTGAAACAAGCACGAGTAAGTTAATTGAAATCCACTACTTGGCAGTTTGCCCCTCATTTCGCATTTAGGACCAACACAGACTCCAATTATCGACAAAAAGCGACTTGCGTTATTTATCCTCACTCTCTGACTCGAATTACATCAATAAAGTCCTCGATAAAATCCTAATTCCGCGAGTCGCGGGGACCCCCGACCACGACAAAGTCTTCAAGTTCCTATCATCGGAAATGCGGCGTTTGGGGTGGCAAGTCGACATCGATGAGTTTGTAGAGCGGGCCCCCATATTCGGCGCTGTCACGTTCAAAAACATTGTGGCAAGCCCGAATCCCCAAGCTGAACGTTTCCTCGTTTTGGCTTGCCATTACGACTCGAAATACTTCCCGAATGCCGTGTTCGTGGGGGCTATCGACTCGGCAGTGCCTTGTGCTATGATGCTCGAGATTGCGAAGACGCTATCGCGCGAGTTGGACCGTGTTAAAGACTCCCCAGTGGGCTTGAAGTTTATTTTCTTTGACGGGGAGGAGGCGTTTGAGGAGTGGGGCCCCAACGACTCGATTTGGGGCGCTAAACACCTGGCGCAGGTGCTGCACGGTAACACTAGTAGTCTCAATGGGGAAGTTGTAACAGAATTGGATAAAATGGACGTTTTGGTTTTGTTGGATTTGATTGGGATGAAGAATCCGAAATTTTTGAATTTTTTTGAAAACACCCAGCGATGGTAACGGTTCATGGTTGTGGTCCGGGTGGTGTAGAGTTGGTTTTAGGTTTGTGAGGTTGTCCCAAATCGAGCATGAGTTGCAAAAGTTGAATCTTTTGAGGAGTCACAGACATAGCTATTTTCAGTCAAGTAGGCCATATGGGAGGATTGAGGACGATCATCTTCCCTTTTTGAGGAGGGGTGTGCCAGTACTGCACCTGATTAGCACCCCATTTCCCCCTGAATGGCACACGCCTCGAGATAATCGCAATATCGTCGACATGGACACTGTCAATAATCTCAATTTGATATTGAAAATTTTCATTAGCGAATATTTGCAACTGTTAGTATAATTTTATTATTTATCATGTAATTAGTTGGGTGAAGAGAAATTTTGTGACGGGGTTATTTATTACGCAATTATAGAAACGCAAAAATTCTATTTTCCCAACGTTTATCAATGCATAATCACTGACTAACAAATCATTGATATTTTAAATAGTTCCTTGGCGGAGTCAGCGGAAGAATTACCGGAAAAGGAGCTGTGACATCAAAGACTTATTTTAGATTATTCTATTATGCATTGTAAAGTCATATTTTTGTGAAATACTCTAGATAACCAATTTTTCATATTTTACAGATACTTAAAACCAGACAAGACTCATGAAAATCCCATCCCTCTGATAACTGTATTTGTATTTGCACTAATTTGTATTATTTACAAAAATTTGCAGGAAAAAAGGTGATATTTTGTAAGTGGTGTGAATCACCCGCAGTACACCGGTGTATTACTGGTTGCAGCAATTTTGACTGAATTTTTAAAAATGTACATGGAACCAAAGTCAATTTTGAGAACTATATCAGGAACAAAACCCAATTAATAATCCTGGAAAATGTAAATAGGTATATATTTTTAAGGAAATTAGGAATTTTGCAACCTGTAACGTTCTATTAACAAAAATATTTATTTTTTTATTTAAATTTCTAAGAAATCGAGTTTTAAACTTTGTTGTTTAATTTTATTGTTCTGTAATAAATAACAAATATAATTTGTTGGAGCAAACTTGTTATTCCTTAACCTGAGAAATACAAATCCTGAAAAACGACGAGGAACGAAAAATTCTAGATTCTCATCGTTCACATTAACTGCTTACACAACAGCATCAAAAGCAATAATAATTTTGTTCATTTTCATTACCATGTAACAATTCTTAAACTACTTGATTCAAACTAAATTAATTAAGCCATCACCTTTAATTAGGGCATAATTTAACTTAAAAAATTATTTTTAGCCTTTCCGGCCCCTCAAACGCAGCAACTACTGAGTTTCGTACAATAAACAAGGTAATTTTTTTGGGATAATTGTACAGGGTGTATCAGCTAAAATATCCTAGCTGGGACACCCTGTATGGACTTTTATTGATATAATATTTTGCAGGAAAGTTACCCAACGCTAAATTTAGTGCTTTATCAACCTTTGTTACACTATATATTTTTCTAACAACCAATTAATAATAAAACTGTTAAAAAGTGAAACGTTTTTCGTTTTTATACCCTCTAAATAAAACAAAAATGCTCCATTTTACTATTTTTTTCCCATCTAGTAAACTCAAATTATCACTGTAGCCTTGAACCTTATTATTTGTTAACAAACAACGGAAATTTCTTTTCAAAGGTCAAACGTAATAATTTCGTTTTAAAATGTTGAAATTTGTTTTAATTGTTGTAATTTTTAACCCAGTTTTGAGCCAACTGAATAAAATCATCGACTTGACTTGGGATTTCAGCAATGAGACAGTCTACTGGCTTGGGGTAACCCCCTTCGAATTTACAAAAACCGTCGGACATAACGAAAGGGGCTATTGGTGAGAATTTCCCATAAATGGGGGCACAGTACTAAAAAAACAGGTATGCGGCTAACGAATTCCGTGCTGGCGAGCATGGGGGCACCCACTTCGACGCCCCTTACCACTTCAATGCAAACGGCTGGAAAGTGGACCAAGTCCCAGTTGAGAGACTTGTAGCAAAAGGGGCAACAATTGACTTGAGCCAAAACAGCACCAAAGCCCTCGAACGCCACCATTTGGAAAATTGGGTGCGACAAAATGGCGACTTTCCGGAAAATACCGTGCTTTTAGTCAAATTTGGGTGGTCCAAGCACTGGCCAAGACGCAGCAATTATTTTGCTGTAACTCCAGACGGAAAATTCGATTTTCCCGGTAGTGAAAACTGTCAAAAACGCAAAAATTTCAATAAAAGTTTCAAGGTTTGTCCCCTGAAGCTGCATCGTGGATCGCCGAAACAGGTAAAATCGTGGGTGTGGGGCTTGACACACCCAGTGTGGACCCAGGGACAAGCACCGACTTTCAAGCACACAGGATTTTGGCCAAAAACATGATCTATATTATGGAAAATGTGAAAATTTTGGAAAATTTGCCACGTAAGTAATTATTTTGGAAAAATTCCATTAATGAAAATTTTCAGCTAAAGGTTTCACCCTTGTTGCTTTACCAATGAAAATCAAGAATGGGACAGGGGCCCCGTTGAGGGTCCTAGCCCTCCCGAATAATCTCAACTCAGAGTAAAATTTTATTCAATCCAATTCAAGTTTCTTGAAATTGCCATAAAAACCCAAAAAATCGTCATTATCCAATTTGTAGGGGCGCAAATTTTTGGCTACTTTCATGGCTTCGACTTGGTCGAACCGGTCCTGATATTCCAAATATTTGAGTTTCAACAAATCTGAAAATTGTAATTGGGATTAAAATAATTAAAATCAATTTTTACCATTGATTTCCTCGAGTGATTTCTCCTCCCCTCCGAAATCCACCGGAAGCACATTTTTGGGGATTTTATCGCACAACTCTACTAAATTGTCGCAAAAACATACTTTTTTCACTATTTTAGAACCGAGAAAAACCTTACACATTTCGAATACTTTAAATGCAAATGCTGACAAATTCACCACATAGACATTTTTTACTCTAAGTTTTAAAGTTTTCTGAAATAAAAAAAATTACAAACCCCCAACTTCAAAGCGATTAATTACCTACTTTATAAAACACCATCATTTTTTGGAAAAGACTGGGAACAAAGTTTTTAAAATGTTCAGGAGCAAAATTTGAGCAATCAAGAATGAAAGTGTGGCTCAACTGAAGACTTTCGTGGTGATGAATTTCGCCATAAAAAATTATATGGGCTGATGTGTCATATGCAGAGAGTTCTAAACTCAGTTTGGGGTCTCTTATTTTATAAATGTAGACACGGCTCAAGTCTGGAGTCAATTTTGGCAAAGGCAAAAAGTATCTAGAATTAGAAATTAAAAAAATTCGTTGTAAAATTGGGGTTTACAATGCGTCCATAACTTTTCTCATATTGGGCAATCTGGGATTAACATTATCAAATAATGAAAGCATTTTGGGCAACACAGTGTAGTACAAATCGATTTTCTGTTTAGTAATTTCCACACTACATTTGTTATAAATCAGATAATTTTTGATACAGTTTAAATCTACAAAAACAGATTATTTATTTAAAGCAGTTTTTGCTAAATTACCCATAATTTCAGGCAAATGTGGTTGACTTTTCATCCACTCTTGGACCGTTTTGCAATCATCATCAAACATTTCTTTGGTTCGGCCGAAATTTTGCGCAATTTTTTCCTCAAGATCGTCATAAACCTCGTAAAATTGCACCATCTTCGCACCAACAACAGTAAAGAGTGATTTCACCAACGTCAGAGTAAATGGTAAAAGCTTGTTTCAGTCGTTATCAAGTACATGGGGAAAAAATATGTTCAATTTAAAACATTTATTGCAAGCAACATTTCAAGGTCATCAAATTTAATTTTGTTTGGTTGGTAGCCGTGTCAATGACCGCTCGATGAAAAACACTGTAGTTGAAAGCAGCAAGCCCACCCCCCACATGTAAAACGCACTTTCCGTCTGTTCCAAAGTCAAAACTTCGGCCCGAAAAACAGTTTTTTGGTTCAAGGCTTTTTTTGCATTGTGGCCAGCTTGGTCGTAAAAATGCTCAATGAAACCAAAATCTCGCAATTTCAGTAATAAAGCGTCAATTTGGCCAAAAATTGGGTAACCTTTGACGAAAAACAACTGAATATAAACCGGGAAAATCGGTTTTTTGAAAAGGTGAAACAGGACTTCGCCTTCAGAGTTGATGAAAAATGGGAGAAAAAATTCGTTGGTTCTTTGGAAATCCACAGTGACACAATCTTGGGTGAAAGCAGTTCGAGTGATGCAATCTCTAGGATTAGGGCAATATTTGTAATTTTCCCTAACATGGACTTCACTAGGGCTTGAGTCAAAACTGTAGAATTTTGCAATGTCGTGATCGATTAAAATATCCAACTTGGACTCTACTATATCCTCCAGGGAGTTAATCTGGGGCTCGTAGCTGTTTTTTGACATGATTTCCATCATTTTGCTTTTGAAAATCGTCGAAAGTATCAAACAACAACAAACCCAAACAAGAATCAATAACCGGTACTTCACCGGAAATCGTTTCAAACCCAACTCGAGCAAAATCTGGTACAACATAAGACCACTAGACGAGTACTCCATCGTGTACAAGAAGCGACAAAATAGTACCATCGCCGTGAAAGCACCCAAAAGAACCAAATAAACCTCCTGGGTAAAAATCAAGCCCATGCGTTTCCAGTACGGCAGTAGCTTTGCTTTTGGTACCAACCATCGGGTACCATCCTCCATGAAAGTACAAGTAATGTCAAAATCCAAATGTTCGTCAAATTTCGAATGAAACACTCCTAGTGCCATCTCGCCTTCACGCCGTTCCAAGGAACCCAAAATATGCGTATAAGTACCATTTATTTTACTCCCCCAGTACTCAAATTTGGTTCTGGTGTAGTTGATTTCGAAAAGTAAATGTTGTGCAATGATTCCAAAAGCCTCAATTTCGATACCACGCTCAGAATTAAGGGCATAAGGTGGTATAATATTATTCAAAATTTGAACAGTTGTGTTCCGCCATTTTGGTGGCAACTCGAAATTTGGGAAAGTCTTATTTCCGGTTAAAACTCCTCTAAGACATGAATTCCACTCAAAAAAATCTACAAACGGCTTGTTGACACTCTCGAATTCGTACGGTTTGTAACTGTAGATTTTTTGCAAAATTTTTGAACGTGTTTCAACTACAAGTACTCTCACAATGTAGTATTTAGACAATGCTTCGAAAATCGTCCCTTGGATTTTGTCAATAATCACCACAGTTTTGCTTTGAGGACTGAACGTTTGAATTTMGGACAAATGCCTTAAAATAGTCTCAAAATCATCCCCAACTTTGATTACAACAAAGTCACTTCTTTGGTACTCAAACCAAACTAATGATTCTTCCAGATTAAGTCTGATAACAGGTCTGTGAAATTGCAAATCTATGTTTACAAAATACACAATGTTTGCGTCGATTAAACTGTGCAAACAGTCGCTCAAATAGTGAGATTCCTCCTCCGGTACTGAAATTTCACCAGAAACAAGCAATACTAGACTTAAGAACAACAACATGGTGACACAGTTTCAAAATGATTGAAATATAGCTGAAACAAGTGTTTTACAGTGATTGCATCCACTTTCAGAAATCATTTATTTTATTTTTATTAGCAATACCACCAAATTACAACCCCCAAACAAGTCACTTAGTTGTAAAAAAAACAAAATAAACAAAGTTCAAATTTTTATTTTATTACTTCATTTTTTGTATTCCACTAAATTAATAGCTAGATTGTAATGAGTCCATTTGTATATTAATCGACAGTCATTCCAGGAATAATAATGAAACGGACCGCAGACTAAACAATTCTTCTTAACCAATAACATTAATAAATAAAACTTGTCAGATGACTGATTAACTGTCAATTTCATTGCGGACCGCAGACTAAACATCCAGTTTGACTTAACTTAGACCAAATKAGCTCGAGTAAAAGCACAAACAGTGAAAAAAATAGCCCGAAAAGTAGCAAAACAAAAGGCAAGGCCATGGTTTCCACGTCGTTAAGCTCGACTTTTTCGGAAAGTCTCAACTGTGAGAAATATGCGCTTTTGAAAATATTGTCCATGTAGTCGTAATTATAGTCGATGATTCCGTTTGCTTGCAATAACAGGATTAGAGAATTGATRTGTTCAAACATGGGGAATCCCTTAGATATGATCATATGGATGGGCGTGACACATACGCGTTCTGACATGACGTGGATGGTGCTATGACCATGTTCGTTCAAGAAATATGGGCTGTGGTAGGCGATGTAGCGTCCCATGGCAATACTTGCAGTGTCCCTTTTTGTGGCTGTTCTCTGCAAGCAGTCATAAGTCTTGGGACAAGGGACATTATGGTCATAAATGTACTTTTCAAGAGGGTCACCATGGTCATACATGTTTGCGTACCCAACAGGCAAACTTATGACCAAYTCAGAATCGACTATTTCTTGGAGTGTWGTTATGTCACTCTCGTAGGTGACCCCACTCAAAAGATTTATAATCTGACTTTTGAAAGCAGTCGAAATGATCAAACAGTAAAAAATCCAAGTCAGTACTAAAGCCCTGACTGTGTATTTCACCCTTATTTTGGTCGGTTGTTCGATTAAAATGCTAAAAAGGTGGAAAAAAATTGTGGTGGAGACCTTCAACTGAGATAAGTGCAAATGTAGGACATAAATCAGGTTATACAAGAAAAAAGAAGCCAAAAAGGCCGTCCACGTGTCAAAACTGAACGCCACAATAATCCTTTGCCATTTTTGCAACTCGCGAGCTTTTGGTACCACCCAGAAAAGGCTGTCTTGGAGGTACTCATAACTGACATCAAAGTCATAAATTTCTGAGTTTTTCAAATAAAATCCACCAACTGTGATGTCAATATCGTGGGTTAAAAGGCCACCAAAGGCCAAATAGTACGTTTCGGGTTTCTTCTCGTTGTAATAACTCCCGTTGTGGAGGAAGTACTCAATTTGGAAATTGTAGTACTTGCTGATTGTCTCCAATGTGAATATTTCTATTCCTTCAAGGGTTGAATACGGGTCGACGACGTATGGCGGGATCGGCTTGTAGGCAATACGCACTGTGGAGTTGCCCCACAATGGGGGCACTGTCTTGGTGAATAAACTTGGGGGGTTGTTAAGACACGAGCCAAGGGGGATAATAGTTGTGTCAGGATTGTTGATATTTTGATTGTTGTAAGGGTAATAAGTGTATAGGTTTAGGGAGTGGGTTTCAAGGACGACAATATGGCTGATGTAGTACTTGACGGCCATTTTGAAAATTTTGTCGGTTATTAACCGGTCCAGAATTATTATAAATTTCGCTTGGGGGTTAAATGTGCGAAATTCGTTCAAATATTGAATTGTTTCGTCCAAATCCGAGTCCAAATTAACACCAATCAGGTATATTTTCGCACGTCCAAACGCAAACAAGTCCAAAATTTCGAAAAATTGCAAATTTATAATTGGGTAATTCACCGGAAAATTGACATTTAGCGACACCACAATTTGGTTATTTTCATAATGATGACTAAGGATTTTATTAACACAAAATTGGACCAAATTTTCGCTGTTATTTAGGTCAAGGATTTCCAGAAATGTTCCAAGTCTTGTTGTGAAATGCATGAGAAACAATATTGTTAGGATCATAACTCACAACTGAGCTTGAAGGGAACTGTTTTAAATTTGAAACATTTGACAAGAATTTGCTTTTAACAGGTCACGCGATGTATGATAAATTAATTCTTCTAAATTACTTAAAATTAACGGTCCATTAACGTTAGCAGATAATTAGTTGGATATTTTTGTTGGAAAATGAAACCGTTTTTACTTAAAATGCGATTTTTCTCTGTAACGAATGATAAAAATAAAAGGAATTTAGCAACAGTCACTTAATTAGACGATTTTAGTGTGACTTGATGGTTCACACTTAGGAGTACCTAAATCAAATTCTCAATTTTCAAAAATTCGTCAAAATTTTACAAAATCAGTTAAAAAACATAGTTTTGTCCATTACATCAATTCTATAACCACCAACAGTGTGATTTGACAATTTTTATAATTTGTCATGCAATCCTGGAAAATTTTTGGAATTTTTTTGAGTTTTAAAAATAGGATTTAAGTGTAAGTGTGACCCAACTTTCCAGGCTAAAATGATCCAATTAAGCGATTCCTTGCATAAATTTGGCGATTTTTTGACTCAATCATCAGTTTTTAATATAATTTTTAGGGTTTTCAAAATAAAAAATAAAATCTATCATGTTTATATAATTTTATCAACAAAATAAATATCTTACAGTTTAATTTAATTAGGCAGCTTGCAAAGTATTTGCGTACTGAAATTCTGGACTGTTTTCATATTCACACATATCCAGGGCTATCTCGCAACTCTCTTTAACCACCCTCTTCTCATCCCCTAAATACTTATTCAAAATATTTATACAATCTTCGGTGGCTATAGCCCCCAGAGCCTCTGCACACTCATGCCTGACCATCTCATTCTCTCCACAATCCTCCAGACTGTCCCTCAAAAACGGCACTCCTTCCTTATCCTGCAGTTGCCCCAAAACAAAAGCCACCTCATGTCTAAACAACGCACTTCCGCATTTCAAACCGGCCCCCAGAGCCGCAATAGCCTCCTTAGTCCCAACATTGCGTAAAGAAAACATGGCACGATATCGCTCAAAAAGTGGGGCTTTCTCATCTAGGAGTTTCTCTTTAAGTTTCGTCACATTTGTGGAAGTTGCAGGAGGAGCAGGATCGACAGAATTGTAGGGACTTTTCAGACTAATCGTTGAACTTTCGGGGCTTTGCAACCATTTTATCCTTTCAAGGGCCAATTCACACGTTTCTGCAACTTCAATGACCTGATCCGATTTGAATTTTTCCAAAATGGTGATAGTTTCAGGAGAGGCAATAGCGCCCAAAGCTTCGGCTAAAGACAAGAACCTGAATTACAACGCAAAACTGAAAAATCAACACAAACCTGCCTCATGCCTCACCATTGGCTCCTGATTTGTATCTTGTAACACTTCAATAAGAATTGAGACAGCTTGAGCGTCTTGCATTTGACCCAAACAATACGCAAGTTCGTGTTTTAATAAAGCTGAATCGTCGTGGAAGCAGTCTTTAATGCAGTCTATCGAAATGGGGCCCCCAATATTACGAAGAGTAAAAAGGGCCCGAAACCGCTCTTTCAAGGGCCTGGATTCGTCCCGAAGCACTTTACCGATGTTACGAATCTGATTTTCAGTAATATTAACCATTTTAGCAATTTTTGAAACACGTTTTTTTGACAATTTGATGATGTTTGACATTTACACAGGTGTGACAACCTACCTAATCAAAAATACCACTCAAATACTTACCTAAATTACTCGAAATTCATTGTATGTGTTTATTTTATAATGTTGATGAGTTGTAAAAACACCTAATTAAAAAGTTGTCACTAAAGATTTTTTGACTGATAAAAATTTGTGTTTTTTTGTGGTATTACATTGCCAGCCCTGTGTGTCACTCTTTTCTAACCACACTATTTTTCAAATAAAATGGCACAAAGTCGTTTGGAACGCATTGGGACGATTTATTCAAGGTTTTTTGTGATGAAAATCGTTCAAAGTTTTTGATTTGGGGTTTGCAGGGCCCAGGGTTTGATCAAATCGGGGGGTGTGAGATGGGAAGATCGCCCCCTCTGGTTCGACCTTTACGAGGCTTTTCCCCCCAAAGAAGAGCCAAAGTATGACCGGCCCGCTCCCAACATCCCCCTAAGACATATTTTTTACGAAGAGGATAAAATTCGAGCGTAATTAACGCACATTTCACGAGTTAATTGACTCACACCAGTTTAGTATTTTTCACAGGAATAATAAGAAAATCGGTGCTACGCATTTACTAGACACCAAATATAAGACCTTGACGCAGAAATTCATCGAGAGTTATAGGACAATTCAAGCCCAGTATGGCGATTCCGGGACTGAGGAACAAATTTACAAGGAAGCAATTGATTTGTTGAAGAAGAATCAAGAAATCAAAAAGGACGAGGACGATGTTAGTTTAAGTACGGCTTTTAAAGAGTCGTTAAAGGAGCAAAAAGCCAAATTAAAAATAAATGTCAGTGATATATTCAAAGCTTAATTTCTTTGTTAAAATCTAGTCTTTATAAAGTGTTGACATGTTGACATTTTGTTTTATTTTATGTCACGTTTGGTGTCCCTAAAATGGGTAAAAAATTAAGTCGGGGTCGTACCCCCGAACAAAGTCTTTATTCTACCGTTTTCTATACCGGGAGTCTCGAAACTATCACTCCATCAATCACAATTCCCTCAATATGTACTTCCCCCTCGTTTCACTTGTCCGAAAAGACCTCAGAGTCGAAGTGTGACAGTGAAATAATCCATTACGGCGAATTGCAAAATATGTACGTGAAGTCCCAGACTTTTACAGCCGATCACTTAACACTTACAACTGTTAAAACATCGCAATTGGTGTTAGTTCTCTTGAAGAGGCATTTAGGAGAGATTGTGAGTGACATCCATGCTGGGTAATTATTCATGTTGCTTTGATGTTATTATTTTATCGGTTTTTTAGAACATTGAAAATGCCGGATAAAGTTATCGAAAAATTTGGCTCCACCAGTGGCCGGAACCAAAACCAGCAAACCGACACATACACTCTTCAAAGAAGAATGATTACACATTTTGTCTCATTACTTCACGTTCATGAAATGATTTTAACTTATCTCAAACAGAGACGCGTCGATCAAGCACTTGATTTAATCAAGCAAATTGCAGTTAGTCACGCTCTTAAGGGAATCACCGTGACCGAATTTAGAGTAAGTTTTTTTTTTTRAATTTTTGATAAAATGACAGTCTTTTAGTTGGTGGACTGGTTTATTGTCAATTATTTGATAAAAAACAAAGTAAGCACAGATGAGAATATAAACCATTTGATGTTTTACTTGAGCACCGTTTCGAATTATATTGTGCGATTTTTCGAAAGTCAGAGTGCCCGCCAAACTATGGTGAAAGACTTGACCACTGTGAAACTTGACGATAGAAGTAACAAAGCCAGGGAGAATTACCGACTAATGAAACAATGGACTACCCGGATTGAAAGATCCAGAGACCAAATAAAGGACTTAATTGACAAACTCCTCGCTGACCAAGCCCGAATGCAAGCAGCGAGAGAGGCAGAAATTCGAAGTATTGACACTCAAACCCTCAAAGAAAACGACTTCATAATGAAATACTTCGTAAGCAGAAAACCGACAGAATCACGCTCACAATCGCAATCTCACCAGGAGAAAGCCTCAACGTGAGTACCCAAACCCCAAATTTCAAATTTAAAATATCCGCCAACAGGGTTGGCGAAGTAAAATCCCTACCACTGCCATTCTCGCTGCCAACCCAAAGCGGAAGTAACCCTAGTACTCGAACAGAATAATAGATTTCTAGTTTATCGACCCGGCAAACCGCTTTTCACAAATTGCAGTTTTGAATGAAAAATCGCAAAATTTTATTGTGTTTTATCAGATTTAGTCTTCCAACATGGATAATCCAGTCAAGACATTTGTAAGTAACAGTTTCTTTTTTGAGGTTATGTTAATGTGAAAAATCGTAGATGATCCCGAATGAGCTTTGCCACAGGGCTGGGGTGGCTGCTTCCTGGCTCTCCGTCAACGAATTCGGCGTTTTTGGACACCAGAAAGTGTCAAAGGTCGATAAACCGAGTCACTTCGCCCCCTCGGATGCCTCAGTGTTTCAGTTGCGTCCCGATATTATTCTGTTTAAGCCGATTTTACGTAAATTGGTGAATGAGGCAAACGGCGCTTTTCTCACTCTTCAAGCCCTCATCGCCACTGAGGGGGACCATAAAGCCGAGTTATTAAAACTGAGCCGGCAGTACAGATCCATAATTAGGGCCTGTTTAGAAAACTTGCAAGACGAAGTAATGCGAGCTAATGGGGACTACCGTGAGGAATTACAAAATTACATCACGATTTTTTACTCAGTTGAGTGTATTTGGCACTTGTGTGAAATTTTGTTTGTTGATGCGGTCCCTGGTAAGTCAATGATTATTTTAGCGATTTTTTTGTGATAATTTAGGTTTTAGGTAATATTGTTTTGCCCCATTTATTGGACTGGATTAGGTTTCACTTTCCCAAATATGACCGAAATGCGGCGAGTATGTTGGCGGGCGATTTGGGGGGCTTGGAGTCACACCCCGATTATTGGGAAACCGTCATAGGGTCACTACTACAAGGCCGGGTTAAGGTCGTTAGGGCACTGCTTAAATTGCACTCAGAGGCGGAGTCTCAACCTTTCAAAATTGTTGATCAGTGTCTTAGAGCAATGCCGGTTTATAATGTAAGTTGGCTGTGAAAAATTGACATTATTTCATAGACTACTTTTAGATGTTTAGTGGGACGTCAATCGCTGAATTTAATCTACAGTGGAACCATTGGGTCGTGGATGTTCAGTCGAAAATCGACGCAAAAATGTTTATTTCGTGTTACAATCTCAATTTGATTATGAAGGTTTTAGTTGTTTTTGTTGCCTTGGTGGAATTATAGGGTTTTTTGTAGCTTACGGTTGGTGACGAAGTTGCATGGGGGGAAGCACAGCAGTATTGCGAAACGTGGTATGAAATGCTAGCCGCGTGGTTGTTTTTTACACAACCGACAGTCAAATCCTTCGAGTTGGGACAGTTTGCCAAACAGTGTATCACAAAAATGTCGATAGGGAATAGGATTAAGCATTTGGATCGAATGCTATTGGCAGCAATGGAATTTGATATTTTACAGGTAAACAATTTAAACAAAAATTACAGTTTTCTGTAATTTTTTTTCAGGTGATTAAAGAAATTCAAAACATGACAGACAGTGGTTGGTTTGTGAGCCACTTAACCGACTTACTTTACCACTCAGGGCGTCTAAACGACCCAAATATTGAAACCGAAAATTTGTGAGTCTCCTATTCTCATACCTTCTCAATAATTATTATTGCATTTTAGCCATCCTGAAAAATTACGTGAATCGTTTTTAATCGATTATGGCTCACTTTTAATGGGCCATAAATCGCTATGGCAGGTCGGTTTAAGCTACTTGGACCACTGTCCCAGTGACGGCGTAGAAGTGATAAAATTATTGCTGCCACGACTGTCTCTAGATTCCGAAATGCGGGCTCAAAAAATCGTTAGAGAGGCCCTAAACCGGAATTTGACCGAGACTGGTAACAAGAATGTGGGATTTTTTTTGTTTTATTGCTTGATTATTGCAGCACAAAGTATTTGCAAAGTTCAAGGAATGACTTGCAAAAGGCGTGGGCGTCTAGGGCACGCCCTCGCCTGGGCCCTTAAATCACAAGACAGCACTTTTGTATCGTTTTTATCTAATAAGTTTCTGAGAGAGTATGCCGAAAGTGGAGATTTGAACAGTATTGACCTTTTGGATAATCTCGGATCGTGTATTATGGCAAGCGATAGGTTGATATTTTTGGGGAAATATTACGAATTTCATAAGTTGTATCAAGCGAAAGAGTACAAAGAGGCCGCTAGTTTACTTGTTTCGCTCCTTGAGTCGAACTTAATACCGAATTTGTGAGAATTGAAAAAATTGTTAATCTTATCTAATCATTGATTTCTAGTTTCTGGAATATTCTCCTAACTGACGCAATACCACTCCTTGAATGCGAAAAAATAGTTTTTTCGTCAACCGACACTTACATTATTATGCAATGTCTGGAAGAAAGGGAAAAAACGAAAGATTTAAAAGACAAAATTCCCCTTTTGAGACTAGCAACGACCCGGAATTTAGCACGAGCGTTAGTACATGAAGCCCAATTAAAGTGATCATTTTTCAAACACTTTTTTATTAAATACTTTAAGTAAACAAAAATTGTTAATTGGCCCCTTTAAGTGCACTCGTCAAGTCCTTAAACTCTTCAATTTTCGTGGCAGTGATCGTGTCAGGGTTAATGTATGTAACTCTGGCAGCGAAAAATTTATCTTGTAACATAAAAGGGTACCATTGGGCCGAATCAGGCCACATTTTAGAGTACGGAATGTCTGAAAATTTATACCATTTGATGGGGTTCATCTCCTCGCTGGCTTGCTCACAACCATCGAATTGTGAACAAGTGAAAATGTGGACTATATCTGCGGAATTCACGTACGGCAGGTCATACCTCACAACTCCGATGTGTTTCAATTCCTTTGCCACTAAACTACACTCCTCTTCAAGCTCACGCTTGGCGCAATTCGCGATTGTTTCGTTTTTCTCCACTTTGCCTCCAAAGCCGTTCCAGAGGCCTTTCCCCAAGCCCCGCGTTTTGTACCCCAGTAAAACCGCGTTGTTCTTTTTGAGAAAGACGAGAGTGAATACCTTGTTCACTGCCATGGTGTTGTCACGGTTGGAATCTCTTTTAACAGGAGAGTGCATTCTTACTGTTTGGTACGTTTTTTGAGGTTATGATTTTATATTTTGACATTTGGCGCCTCGGCAGCGTTGCCACATTGTGTTTAAAACAACGTCATGGCTTGTTGTTGATTTGAATATGACGATAATTGCATAATTAGACTGGTGTCTGGTTCTAGGATTAGAATGACGCACTTTTTTATCGGTTTAATTCCATTAGTCTAAACAAATTTGCAAAAAATTGACCATTTAGCAACGTCGCTCCATCTGGTTTAACCTCATTGGTTCGGCCTGAAATGTCATAATTCTTGAAAAATTGCGAATTTGTCCAACTTCCGCCACTTCTCGGGCGTTTTTCCCAAAAACGAATTTTTCAACTCCTAAATTTTTATTAACAAACTACAAGAAATTCACAAGTCGTGTGTGGTATTTTAATCATCTTGAAGAAAATACGCCGCCATGTTGAATTTCTACGGTGAAAATGATAAAGTGTAGTGTCATCATTTAGGACACGAAAACAATTTAATTTATCTTTAATAAATTTGCAGTGACCCCGTAAATAGTTTGTAAAACTCTCAGATTTTATTGTGTGTAAAAACACACTTGTAGTTTTTTTTTAAACGGAGACGTATTTTTGGTTGTGCAGTTGTCAAAAATAGGTGAGTTTTGTGTGTCATTTTTGTGTTTATTTAGGTGCCCAACTATTTATTTAGTCTTTTTTAGGTTCTATCATAAATTTGCTAGCTTTGTGAGCTTTTTATATCGCTTTGTCAGTGTTTACTTTCCAGAAAAGTGCAGTCTCAAGTGCCTTTACACTGATTTCACATTTGCAAAATTTCCATTGTTTTGCAAGCAATTCGACCAAAATTTGAGCTTTTTGATTGTTAAGGCTTAATACAATTACCGAAAATCACCCTTTCTTGGGTGTAATTAGTTAAATTCCTATTGCTTTGTTTAGTTTGGTCCAAAAACTTGTAAATTATCAATTATCATATAGTTAATAGATAAGATAGTTTATTAAGTATTTATCGATTCTACATGTGAAATCCTACAAGTTTCTACATTCCTCACTACTTAGCATGTTGTAATTAGTTTTGATTTAATTTTTTTGGCAACTTTTGCATGATTGTTCTCAACATAACATTTTATTAATGTTTTCACAGACGGCTGTTTTAAGTGGAATCTAACAACGAATCAACTAACAAACAAAAGTAAGTTTTTTTAATTATCGACTAGTTATAAACAAACATTTGCTGTTGTAATTCTATTATTGCTTTTTTGTGTTTGCTAAGCTAGCTTTATTTTTTTCACTAAAAATAGACGATAAAGAGTTGGTTGGGTTAAATGTGACTTTTCTCTGATTATGCCACGTTATTGTCTTTCTTTGCTTATTGTTTCTCGTTCTAATTTTAAACGAAAATACGTGACCAAGTTGGCCATGAAATTTTTTTTTCAACATCTGTCAAAATTTATAGCCAACTGAGGATTTAATATTCAAATGGAAAGGATTTTATTTGAAAATTAAATAAATACTAGGGCAGGAAGTATCATTTTGAGTCAGTGTTACAATACGTGACATTTATTTCAACGTTCTTATTTAAATTTTAACCTGACCTTGGCCCACACGTGAGTGATAAAGCTCATAAGCTATTCTCATGTTTACTATACATAGTGTTTCTAAAACAACGGTTGTGTCTTGTGGAGAAAGGAAAAATAAATGGAGGTCTAGAATAATTTGTAAAAAAATTAAATAAAAGTTATAATGTGTCAAGGTAAGCCGGTTGAAGAAATCACGTGCGATATGTCATTACAAGAAATATAAAAATTTAGAAAATAAATCAAGGTTGTATCAGACTAAAATAAAAATTCGATTTTATTTTTAGCTGCAATAATTCGAAGAGTACTTCTAAAACGTTATAAATAGTTTAGTATAATAATTCTGTACACAATTTTCAAGAAGTACTCAAAATCCCTAGTGAAATTCAAAATTTGTTACATCTCACTACTGCTAGAAGTCTGGCTATAAGAATAAATCAATGAAACTCTATCTTTTATTTATTTGGGAAATGATGAATACTATGAATGATTCTCTTTTGAGAATTTGATTAATTTCAGAGGACGTAATTCTGATCTCAATAAAAACTACATTTTCGTTTTGTCACTTGAATTTTTATCGAATAATAGTGAAAAATCTGTTTAAATTATTACAGTTTCCTGTAACTGTAAAAAATTCCGAAAATTCGCATTTAGCCCAGCCCGCTTGATTTTTTCAACCAAAAACAATTTGTTTCGGTATTTGTTTAGATGAGACGGGGGTCGCACGATATGCAAGTCAATGTGGCTGGAATCCGCCGCAATTTGAAAAATCTCGCTCACAATTACTCCGATGCTCAGAAGAAAGTCCGCGAAGCGACTTCGAATGACCCATGGGGACCCAGCAGTACCATAATGGCGGAAATCGCCGATTTGACATACAACGTGGTGGCCTTTAGCGAAATAATGCAAATGGTTTGGAAACGATTAAACGACCACGGAAGAAACTGGAGACATGTATACAAAGCTTTAGTTCTTTTGGAGTATTTAATAAAGACAGGATCGGAAAAAGTCGGACAGCAATGCAAGGAGAACATTTTTGCCATACAGACCTTAAAGGATTTTCAGCATTTAGAAGAGGGAAAGGACCAAGGACAAAARGTTAGAGAGAAAGCGAAACAATTGGTGAATTTATTGAAGGACGACGAAAGACTGAAAAATGAAAGGGCGAGGGCTCTCAAGGCCAAAGAGCGCTTCGCACAGAGTGCCAGTGGATTTGGAAGTGACGGAGGATTGGACACTCCATGTAGCCCCAAATATCCGGCTTTTCGGGGCGATTGGGGCACCAATCGAGACTTAGAACTGCCACGAGAGATAGAAAATGCAAGACCTCAAACAGCCGGCGAAGAAGAATTGCAATTGCAGTTGGCCTTGGCCATGTCGAGGGAAGAAGCCGAACAAGAAGAACAAAAAAGAAAGTCGGACGATGTTAGATTACAGTTGGCGTTGAGTCAGAGCCAACAAGATTTCAAGTAATGTCAAATTTTTCTTTTTTTACAAATTCTAACTGATTGTGTTTAGAGCAAACGAGGAGAAGAAACATCATAGTCACATGGTGGACCTCTTGGATGTTAATTTGGGGGAAAATGAGGCTCCAGTTGACCCCTGGGGTATGCCACAGCCACCTCGGAGTCAGGTATGCGACCATTAATGGTTTTACAGTAAATAATTATTCTGTTCAGTCGTTGGACTTGAATCTTTTTGATTTTTTGCGGGCGGTATGTATGTGGTTTGAATGCTTTTTTGTGTGAAGCTTGCATTTGCAAAATTACTCGTTTATTAATCGGCAATTAACGCTCTCGCTCGATGCTTTTTGTAGCAATCGTCGCCTTGGCAGCCGCCTGCCCTTTCCTCCCCGCCGAGCAGCACCCCAGCGTCGGCCGACCCTTGGCAGCCGGTGCCGGCGATGCCCCCTAAACCGGACCCTTGGGGCGGCGCCATGAGCGCCCCCTCGGTGCCCCAGCCCCAAACCAAGAACGACCCTTGGTCGCCCACCAGTCAGGGCTCCTCTGACCTCGACGAGTTCGACGTAATCACAAATCGTAATCGAAGCTCGCCGAAATCGACGACAACGAACGGTACTCATTCGAACGATCCGTTCGAGTTGAATCTTCTCGGTGAGGCTTTGCCCCCGACAGCGCTCAGTCCGTCAACGGGGGCGACGAAGAAGACACCGCAGAGTTTCCTCGGCGAAAATTCAGCTTTAGTCAATTTGGATAATTTGGTGACGACTAGTAAGCCGGCGAATGCGCCAGCGGCTAATCCTTTTTCGGAGAGTCAGCCCCAGCGCCCCGTTTTTAATACACCGGCCCCCAAACCGACGATAAACGATTTGAAACAGGCGAGTTTTGCGCAGTTTACGGCGCCGAGTACGGCCTATGGGGGTTTCGGGGGACAAGGGTTTGGGGCCGCGCAGCCGGTGCAAGATCCGTGGACGCCGGCGCCTAGTAGTAACATGGGGGCGCCGTGGATGAAGAGCGAACAAGCAAATCCGTTTTTGTCTTAACGTTGTTTGGGTAAATGGCACGAAATTTCTCTTCATACACCAATTGTTTTTAGATTTTTGAGAATGTGCAGCGACACGTGTAGCTTTTTTACGTTGGTCTAAAGAAATTTTATTAGGTTTTTCGCGGAAATGTGATGGATTTATTGCTCATTTTTGAAACGGTTTTTCATTGTTATACAAAGTACATATCTATATTTTGATTAAATAAAATTTGAGATTTTATAACTTGCTTGCTTCAAGCTTACTTTAAAGAGATCCGTCACTTGGAATAGACTGATAAATGTACAGTTTTGTATGTCAGTGTTTTGGTTTGGTAAAACTGCCTCAATTTTATCCATTTACCAAGTCTTTATTTATTCAATGCCTATAACAGTAATTTTTAATTTTAGTGTATATTTTTTAAGTTTGTAACCAGTATTTTTCTGTCAGTTTACATGTTATGTATAGAAGAAATTAATTTTACGTAATATATTTCTATATATTGTATTTAACTTGATATATTTGTATATATTTCAAATTATTTACCGTTCATGTTGAGTTATGCAATAATATATTATTTTTAAAAATACTTTTAACAAACATGTACATATTAACTAATTTTTTAGGATAGGTTTTGTAATATATAAGAAGGAAATAGGAGCGTTTATGAAGGGTTTAATGGAAATTTATGTATCGTGATAGCTATTTTCACTTACATTCATAAAAGAAATAAACTAAATTGTTTTTTATTCACACCCTCGCACCACAAAAAGTAAGATTCTTAAGGGTCAACTTTGCCACTAAACCATACTTAGACGAATCTACTCAAAAACGCATTTCCACTCAGTTATCGTAAAAAAGCAAAGTTAAACTAAAAAGTTTGTTTTTGGGACCTACTTTGACTATGATCGAGATTATTTGACAAAAATTTATTAGTTACATTTAGAACGACTTCAAAAATGTTAATTTCAAGGAAACTCACCTAATTCTGCCTTTTTTGTACACATTTCTTGTAGTGAAATAAATACAAATTCAAATTTTATCATAACGTCAAAACTGACAATTGACAGCTTGACAAATTAGAATAACATTGGTTAGAATACGAAATCAAAATTACAATTTCATAACTAAACTTATTTTTTCCTTAATATTTGATTCTCCGAAATAATTTTATGTTTTTGGAGGCGTGCCTCTGTGGATCCCCTTTGTAAACAACGCTAAAAGTGTGGTTATGTCGGTTTATGTCAAACAATGGCCCGTTCTGAGACAATCCCCGTTTTGACTTCAGAACTCGCAGTAGAAATCCTCAACAAGACCTTAGAAGAACTACAAACGCCCCAAAATGTGAAAAAACTCGATGAAGCGAAAGACAATGTGGGCAACGAGATGTTAAAAATGATGCAGTTTTTGTTCCCCATCGTGATGCAAGTGCAAATGGATGTGATAAAAGAGTTTGGGTTTCCGAATGGTCGTGACGGCATAATCAAGTTCGCCCAAATGTTGCGAAGTTTGGAGCGAGAAGACGCTGAAGTAGCGAGACTTAACGCCCTGATCAAGACTTACTACTTGCCCCCTGTGGCTGTAAACACGAGTGAATCCCCGGCCGAGGAAAGGACCAGCAGTAGTTGATTTGAATAAACAGCTTTGTACTAAAAAAAATACGTTTTATTGTGCAAGTCTAAAAGAAAATTATTTGGATACAAAATATGTAAAAATATGTTCCCTATTTTACTCCTGAGCAATATAAACTACTTTAAGTATTAAACAAAGCCGAGAAACGAGATCAATGCTTGGTAGTCATTCAACAACGCACCAATCCCATTTTTACAATAAACCTCTAAATCTGTAACACTTTGGAACCATCTAGACAAGCTGGTGGGAAAAATCGGGCTGATTTGTACTTGAATACCTGAATATTTGAAATTGACGTAGTGGCTTTTTGGTCAGTGGTGGTAACTGTGATTTGATTACTGTCGTGCACTCCTTTCTGTCTCGATTAAACACTCGCGGACTAAAATCCTCGCATGGACAATCCCCCTTTTGAGACGCTCGGCCGAACTCCGACTCCCAGCGTACGTGGGGCGCACCTCGCGTCCCATCTCCTCAATAACACCCAAAAGTTGCGCGTATTTTGACTGTCCGGGCTGCTGGGGGGCTTTGGGGGTCATGGGGATGGCAGTCACGGTCACGTCGCTCAGTTTCGACTCCACGGCTTGGATATCCACCGTCTCCATGCTTATCTGACACAAAAATATCCGTTTTTTTCACCCATTCGACGAGAAAAAATATAAATACAAACATAACCTCAACTTTTGCAACAACTAAATGACATGAAGAAATTTGCAAGTGGGGCCGTTTTCACGTAATTTGAAAAGAATTAAATGCATTGAAACGTAAAACAATCAGTGTTAATTAATTATTTACCGGTAATTATTCACAACACATCTATCACAATTAAAAAATAAAAGTAGTGTTGCCAACCGCCACAAAAGTATGTTGGCCGCCTTTGGGTTCAACAGCCAATAAGATTCGTCCGCGCGTCTTTCAAATATCAAATAAAAGAATTAGGAATATTTGATTGAGTCATTTATTTATAAATTAATCAAGTTTCAGCTCATGTAAATAATTTAAAACTGCATCACAACCCAGTTGATTACACAAAAGTGGTTTATGTCGTTCAACTTTTGAAAGAAGTTCTTCACAATTAATTTTGGCGATAACTTTGAAAACATCTGCAAAAACTCAAATTACACGAAAATTTAAATTAGTTGAAAACAAACCAAAAACTAAATCTCTGACGTTCTGATCTTCATCATCAAAGTGCGTGAAAAGCGTATCAATAATAAGTTCATGATGGGCCTTAAAATGCGCTTCATGAAACACTTCAGGGACTCCTGTGAAAATTTCAGGCAAAATTTTCAAAGCACAAAGCCTAACTTTTTCAGTTGGGTCATCCAAGCGTTTCAAAATTTCTAAAATTATAATAAATTAAAGTGGGATAGAAAAACAATCACGGCCTACCAGGATACACCTTAACCAGATCGTCATTTGTCCAAACTCCCAGCTTACTTGCATGTTTTTTCAAAACTGTGACACATTCCAAAGCCAACTGTCTACTCCTATACGATGCATCTTCCATTAAAGAAATCAAAAGTGGGGCTAATTTCTTACACAATTGTCTCAAGACAGCCCCACTTGTGAATAAATCGACCCCTTCTATGGGGGTTAAAGCGCACAAAAGACACGCCGCGGCCATAGTCCGCAACGCCTCAGCTGTTAACCCCGGACGCCACACTAACGAAGGAACAAAAACTTCCGAAATTAATTTTTCGAAAAATTGAGACAAATCGTCCGATTTCTGGAAAATCACAAATTTATTATCAAATGCACTCGATAACGCCCAAAAAGTCTTCAAACGCGACTCAGGATCAGCTTCAGGGTCCAAACTGTGGCTCAAAATTTCCCCAATCATGGGGAGATTTTCCCCAAATGCGGTATTTGAATGGAGGAGAATTGTTTCGAAAATGCAGCGTTGGGGGGTAGTCACGAGCCACGATTTCGGCTCATTTTTAATATGGGCCAAAAGACGGCCCACGTGGGTACTCCAGAGACACTCAACACCCGAAAATTTCAAAATTGAGGCAAGGGGCTCGAGTAGTTCGATTGTGAGATGAGAATTTTCAGGGTCACGGAGCGAAATCACCGAAACTAGAATTTTAAACAAGTGAAAACCGACGTCAGGGTCGGACTTTTCGGAGATTTTCGCAGAAATTGCGTCACAACACTTGACCAATTCGATATGAAGTTTTTTCTAAAACAAAAAATACTAAGCATTTAATCAATTATTTAAAAAAATAAACCTTGCGAGTGTAACAAATACAATCATCAGAAATCACTCTCGTAATCTCGACTAGGTGTTCAGTGATATATTCCAAAGGTGCCCCCTTGATAAAACCACACAAAACGGTCAAGTGCCCAAAATGAGCCCCATCTTCAACAACCGGAAGCATTAATTGTTGCCACGTCTTCACCGGAATAAATAGCCCCATGAGTTCGCTCGCACGAAAAATCTGACACAAAACAATTTTTTAAGTGATAAAAAACACTAAAAGTTTCATTTACGTTAACAACAACTCTCTGATCATCATCCCGCGCCGCTGAATACATCGCCGGTAACAACTCTTGCAAGTTTTGGGTCAAACCATCTTCCGCATGCAATGCAAGACTGCAAAGAAGTTGAGAGCAACGGACCCGGACGTCTTCTTGCCAACCTGTCAATTCGTTCGACAGGGCTTTGYTTAATTTACCCACATTTCGCTGAACTAGGACGCGACAGCCCAAATTAGGRCGTTTCACTGAAAAAAAAATTATTGCCTATTGTGGAACCAAATTTAATTTCACTGAAAACAACATTTTTATAGCCTATTGCGGAACCAAATTTAATTTCGTGTTACAGTTGCCATGGAAATGCTAATGTCAAGTCAACAATTTTGAAAAATGGCGGGTTTTGACTTACAATCCGTTGGGTAATATTTGGGTAACTCTAATAAAAAGTCAATTTGGTCCTTTAAGTCTTTCTCATTTTCGTTTTTGTATTGCAAACCGACTTTTTCCCACAGTTGGTGTGATTCAATTCGTGTCTCCGCAACTTCATCATTTAATCTAAAAAATGTTTATTGTGATTCAAATTTTTACAAAATTATTGCAAATACCCAGTCAATAACAGTGGTAGAATTTTGTGAAAGAAGGAATACCGGTCTCGGTATTCCTGGAGCCACCTTGCCGCCACTTGGGCAACCGTGCGCCTAACTAGGGGTATTTGGTCGAATAGTTTCTCAGCTAGGGGGCCCACCGCCTCATCTAGGCCTTTATAAGAGCTGTGCATGACCACCTCGCCTACAAAACCCGAATTAGTTGAAAATAAAAGCGAAAAATTGGTTACCAATRGCTTTAATKGCCTCAACTCTCACTCTGAACCTCTGGTGGCCAAAACAGGACACAATTGGCTTGATTAAATTCTCAGCTTGCATGTGAAAATCGCGTGGGAGGGCTTCGGCCAGGTTTACGACACATTTGCAACTCAATTCCTTGATCGCTGGGTGTTTGTCTTTGACGGTTTGACACAAAATAGCTACACAATCGCCTAAAAACGGCTTGAGTTGCTCAGTATTTGAGTATTTGAGGATAATTGCTTGAAGGAATTTGACCAATTCGAGTCTGATTTCTTCCGATTCTTCAATCAATTCCAGACTTCCGATTCGCTCAACTAGCACGGGGCACACATAAGTCAAGTAAAAATCATTCAGGGGCAACTTATCAATGATGAAAAAATACATAAACTTGATGGCTTGCTCTCTAACGACTTCGGTTTTGTCCCGAAAGCCGTTCAAACAATACATATGAGTCTCAACGAAAACGGCTCGCAAATCCTCACACGAAACCTCATTTTTGGGGTCTGAGAGAAACTTCTCCAAGTCGATCAACGCCCCCCTTCGGGCCTTCTTATCACCACTATGGAGCCCCATCGCGATTTTTTTCGCATTTTGGACGAGATTATCACCATCTGATGGCATTTTCCACAARATTGATCAAATTATTTGGAAAAATATCCCATAGCAACAATGGTGCGACATAACCTCAAACGTCACCAACATGTGCGATGATAAGCCCCCTTGTAGACAAATAACGACGTTGCATACGTACAGTACTGAGTACAACGCGGATTCGGTCGAGTGGTGCCCCCATGAGCCCCACCAAACTGTTTTTGTGTGTGCTAACTACCAATTAAATTCAGGTGACATAACCTTATTTTTATTTGTCAAAAAATAAATAAAAATTTTAGAGACAGGCAAACGGATCGGGTGTATTTTACTGTTTTCAGCAACCGCTGATGCTTTAATTTTACATCAAAAAATCGAAACTGCGGCCATTCTTGACCAGAAATGGTGTCACAATAAAATTAACAACTCGTCGATTTTGGGGGTCGTAAATGCGCAACAAACGCTTGAAATTTATGCCCTCAAGAGTGATAATGTGAAATTGGAGTTTGTTACGTCGTTTCAGTTAGATGACGATGGCAGTGAAACTCTTTTTTTGTCTCTGGACTGGTCCACAGGTAAATTTGCGAGCGATGAGCCTGAAATTGTAGTGAGCGACTCCAAGGGGGCCATTCACAGGTTCAAGTTACGGAATAGTGAGTTAATTAAGGCGGAAAGTTGGCACGGGCATGAGTTTGAGGCGTGGATTAGTGCGTTTTATTACTGGGACCCCAATATCGTGTTCAGTGGTAATTATTTCAATTTTAGTTTCATTATTATTTATTTATTTAAAAAATGAAACAGGTGGAGATGATTGTCGGTTTTTAAAATTCGATAAAAGAGTGGGACTGGAGCCACTTTCGTGTAACAAGAGTCACGAAGCTGGAGTCACTTCCATGCATTCAAATGCCCAAAAAGAGTATATTTTGGCGACTGGAAGGTATAATAAATTTTTTAATTCGTCTTTATGATCTATGAAATTCATAAAATTGGAAAAGTCAAGCAAAACCACGGTTTTGTTACTCAGAAAAAAAATGGTTACACAATTAGCCATGAAAACTCATGTTTTTTAGTTACGACGCAAACGCTAGATTGTGGGACATCAGACATTTGAAAAATTGTGTGTCTTCCGTGCAAATGCCAGGGCCGTTGTGGAGACTCAAATGGGACCCCCATGATCGTAAATATCTCCTAGCGGCTTGTATGTTGGGCGGGGTTCACATAATCGACAGCCAAAACGCAAATTTGGAAATAATCGATAGTTACTACCAACATAAAAACATCGCGTATGGTGTTGATTGGTCACACCTTCCTGTTAACAATTCAACCAATGAAACCCTTATTGGTTCTTGCTCATTTTACGATAACTTATTATGTGTATCAAAAGTGAAATTTGATAAATAAAACATCAAAATCTTTTTACTCTTATTTTATTGTACAAATAATACAATAAAAATTTTAAGAACTAGCAGTTGGCGCAGTTTTCTCCTCTTCCTTGATCCTGTCCTTTTTGAGTGGACCCATGAAAGCGGCTTTATCGGCCGCAGTCTGGAATCTACCATGTCCAAATTTAGACGAAGTGTCAATAAACTTAAGATTAATCTTCTCAAGAGCCACACGTTTAGTGTGAACCAATAATGATTTCCTCAACGTAATAACACGTTTCTTGGGGCCCATGCAACATCCTTTGATCATAATGAAGTCATTGTTTACTTCACCGTAATGAGGGAAGCCACCCATTGGCGTAATAGTCTTCTCTGTCAAGTCGTACTCCGTCGAGGCATTGTTCTTAATGACCTAGAACAAAAAAAAATCATAACTCAACTGAACAATAAATAAGTGTAAAATAAATGAAACAAAAGAATTACATCAGTCCTATCATTTAGAATCACCGATTATTTTTCATAATCCTTTTGGCTCATTGTTTTTATCATCATAAAAATAAATTAAGATAATTCATTTACGAGAATTTTTACACACCTTGCCATCCTTGGTATGAATACCAGCCCCAATTCTGTAGATTTTCTTGTTCATTTCGGTACGATGGTGGTAACCCTTTTGACCAGCACGGGCTACAGTGAACGAGACACGTGACGGATGCCACGCTCCAATACAAGCGACCTTTCTCAACCCTTTATGGGTCTTCCTGGGCAGCTTCTTAGTGTGCCAACGCGACGTCACACCTAAAAAAAAAGCAGTGTCAAAATTCACACCAATCATTTTGTGAAAAATTGAAATTTCGGCAGAAATCAGTAGGAAGGCAGCATGGTTGTATCTTCACTAAACATCTGAAGGCACATCCATGTTTTGTCATCACAAAAACACACATTAGTATGTAAAACCATGTTAATTTTCACCAAGAGGATAAATGACCTCACCTTTGTATCCTTTACCCTTGGTGACACCAATACAATCGATCATCTCATCTTGGGCAAAAACTTGGGCTATTGGGATGGGCTTTTCGAGGTGTTCGCGAGCCCATTGCACTTTATCGACCACAGTACCACCATTCAGTTGGATTTCCATAATGTGGGCCTTCTTCTGGCGTTGGTTGAGCAATTTCATCTGTTAAAAATAAACAAAATTAGCAAAGTTGTAATTGTGAATAGAAAAAACTGTAGAGAGCATGGTTTCTCTCAAAGTCACAGTCCAGGGACTACAAAAAGATTATGGAATATGCTCACTGCGCCTCCCAGGGGGCGCCTTCTCTATGACACTGCAGCGAACGTCGCATCAAAAAACAACGTCCAAGCCGCCAGCCAGGAGGGTAAGCTCCTGAACTGATCGTGTCACGTGACAAACAAAATCGAATCGTGCTTACCTGAGTATGGGCAATGACCCTGACGACTTTGCAGTACTTGATGATTTTCTTAAAGTCGCGTTCAATTGATTTCTTGCCCAAATCGTCATTCCATTTCTTTGAGGCTTTAGTGAAAGCCTTCTTCTTGCTCTTGTACCTTTAAAAAGACAGTAAAAGGGTCACCTCATAGTTTAGAGGAGGTTTTACCCTTAGTCACACCTCAACAAACCAGTGTTATCAGTGGACTTTGAGGCTCTCGTGGGGGCAGTGGAGAGCTTTAGCGGCGTTTAGCCGACTTTACATTATTTAAAAGTAGAGGAAAAACTCACCAGTTCTTGTAGAAGCGTCTGCGACAGTCTTCAGACAAGTGCTCGGCCCAGATGGTMGCCAAAGCGCGGAGACCGTGAGGAGTCTCAATGTASCCCACAACGCCGACAATCATCATTGGAGGTGTCTCGAGAATAGTGACCGCTTCCACAATTTCTTTCTTGTTTATTTCTAATTTAATAAAAAATTAGAATTGAGAATTATGAAGCTAGGAGGCGACTTACTTGACCCAGGCCTGTCTGCCTCACGAACCACGTGGGTCATACCGGCCTTATAACCGATAAAAGCCGTCAAATGAACGGGTTTTGATGGGTCATCCTTGGGGAAAGCCTTGACTTTTCCGCGGTGTCTTTGGGACCGCTTCTTGGGGTAGAAGCCCATAGACCCATGACGAGGGGCACTGAATTTACGATGAGACTACAACAAGAAGCACATTTTATAATCGAGAATTTTGCACAAATAAAGAATTTTCAAATTGGGTTAATTCAGACCGCCCTAGAATAGCTTCCACATTGTTTTTCAGTGTTAACCATAAACAATATTATCTAAATCATCATAATATCCTTAATAAATGGTCTGATTATCCATGAAACTAAATATATAAATGTTTTTTCATAAATTGACCCACAGATGATGAAGATATTTAAAGATTTGTAACAAAAAAAAATGAGCGCACTTACCATGTTCGTCGAAGAATTCAAAATGGCAGAAGAAAACTTGATGACGTCAATTTATATACCACCCAGAGGGCGCTATTTTTTGCGCAAAATTTGAATATACAATTACAGGAAAACTAAACGAACTTGTTTTCAATTCTAATTGTTACTTCTTTAAATAAAAATAATTAAAATTCTATTAAAGGAATAAAGCGCAACATTTGTTTTGTTTTATATCACGATGCGGCATAATTAAGTGTTACATAACCTCAACATTTTCCAGTGGTTATAAAAATGCTCATTAATCGAGTTTGGGGGTTCTTTGGACGGCATAATTGCCGTTTTATTCCTAAAATGAATAAGTGTGTGGCTCTACAACCTCCCGACAATATTTTAACCGAATTTGTAGTTTTAGATTAGTTTCAAGCAGTTCAAACACAGCCCCCACAAAAGACAAGATTGAGGATCTTGACGCGCCTGTAAAATATACAACAAGTCCGGCTAGACACTGGAAAGCTCGTACGACTCGTGTTGGTTACGAAAATACCAGACTTTGGTATGAGCCCTATGTGATTATAGCTAGCATTTCCGTTTTTATGCTTTATTTTACAATTTTTCGTGAAGAAAATGATATTGATGAGGAATTATCCCGGTCATTGTACAGCAGAATCGAGGGTTTGGAAGAACAGCAGTTACGATTGTCACTAGAATATAACAGAGAACATAATCTTGATACTTCTGCCATTATACAAAGATTACAAGAATTGGAATTAGAAAAACAACCAAAATAATGTATTTTATAACCAAACAATAGACAATTAAACAAACATTATTTCGTTTTCTTTCCCTTTAAATTCGATTTATGTGGTTTATTGGGTTTGTGTCCGACTTCTAGTACTTCTTGCGGTTTGGGTGGGGGCTCTAGAGTCGCAATTTCGGTAATTTCGTGGAAATAACTCGGTTCGGGTTTAGTTGGTAACACTTCTATGATGTCATAGTCGGAATAAACCGGTCCTGTGACTGGCAACTCCTCAATTTCGTACATAGAGCCATAACTGCCTTCAGAAGCCACTTGTCTTGTCGGCATGTGAGCCAACTCCTCAATTTCAATACTATACGAGCCTTCAGACCCTAATGATGCCACATCGGGGGCCCCACTCTCAGGCCCTAACTCCATTTCGGTGATTTTACTCGTCTGTTCAACGATTCGATCAAGACACCTCTGCCAATACCCGGCACAATTAATAGCTTCAGTGAGGGCCTGGAGAGTCTCATGAGCCGTCACGACGTTCTTTATTAAATGATCTTGAAGACACTTGGGGCAACAATTGACTTTCTTCCCGTGGAAGTTCTCCATGATTTCWGTCGACAAYTCTTTAACATGTTTGCTGTATTGTCGCCAAGCTATAACTTTTTCTTCAGTATCTTGAACAAACTTGCGCCATTCTTCCTTGTACAAGACTTTCTTTTCGCCACTTGGAAGCAACACATCACCTCTGATTATAGCCACATAGTGACGGACTTGTTTGATTATTGCCCCAATCCATTTTGTCCAATTGTGAGCATTGTTAGCGATTTCTAGCAACCAGACAGCCCAAATTTTCAACGAAAGACAACAAATAGTACCAGGGGTGTGTTCGTAAACGACGGAAGGTTTGTGTCCGCGAATCACGCCAAGGAGGCTGTCGAGACGCTCAAGCTCATCAGCAAGGCGACCCACAGCGAATTCTTCTCCTTCTTCGCCTAAACCTACACCTGGAGGTAAACCATAACCTTCTCTTTCTTCAAAGCCTTCTTCACCATAATACAATCCTTCAGCTTCACCATACAAGCCTTCTTCTGCCCCATAGAAACCTTCTTCAAAGCCAAATTCTTCAGCTTCTAATCCACCAGGGCCAAAGCCGGCCTCACCTTCCCCATAACCTGCTTCAAATCCAGCTTCGCCTTCCCCAAATTCGCCAGCTGCGCCTCCAAATCCGGCTTCACCTTCTCCAAATCCAACTCCAGCTTCACCTTCTCCAAATTCAGCAGTTGCAGCGGCAAATTCATCTTCACCTTCTCCAAACTCGGCTTCGCCTTGTCCGTAATCGCGWCCAAAAGCAGCTTCATCTCCCTCYAAGCCTTCCCCAAATCTTGGACCGGCTCCTCCAATTTCTGCTCCTTCAACTTCAGGACTTCCAAATTCTACTCCTCCAATTTCAGGACTTCCAGTTCCGGCTTCACCAGCTCCAGGACCGGCTTGTTCTGCTCCAGGACCGGGTTGTTCGGCTCCAGGACCGGCTTGTTCAGCTCCAGGACCGGCTTCTCCAGCTTCTAGACCTTCAGTTTGTGCTCCTCCACCTCCAGGTCCGGCTCCAGTTCCTGCTTCTTCACCCTCAATAAACCGTTCTTCGCCTCCTCTTTCTCCCTCCCCTTCACCAACTGCTCCTTCAATGACTCCTCCAAAACCTCTTTCACCTTCTTGTTCTTCTTCACCTCCTAAAGCCTCTCTAAACTCTTCACCTTCTTCATCAGTTTCTCTCAAAATCATAGCTTCGACTTGTCCCCTATCTTCACGTCTCTCTATCATTTCTTCAACAACTTCTTTGCCAGTGTCTTCACCTTCTTCTTTTATAGTCTTTTTGAAATCACTTATATCAATATTTTTGAATAACTCGTTTAAAATATTCGACGTTTCGTGTATTTTATCAAGAATCATGTCGTCGACTTGATCTGGATCGTTTCTTCTAGCCCATTCAATCATCTTCTCTTCCAAATTAAGTTTCTTCCTTGCTGCTTCAAGCAAATTTTCATCACGAATTTGCTTCAATTTGGCTAAAATGTCACCATATGTGATATCGGGAAGATTCTCTGAATCGATTTCAGTTAATAAAATGTCTTCCGGACTTTGTGACAAAATCTGAATTAATCTCGCCAAAGTATCTTCATCTAGGCCTTTCAACATGTCAATTACTGATCCTTCTTCAAATTCCTCGTCAAGATCAAAGAGTTTAGTCTTATCGACAAGTTTCTTCGCCATGAATTCTTCTTGTCCAGCGTCACCTCCAGCAACAGCTCCGTAAAACTCATTCTCATCGTAGCCTTCATCTTCATACCTAAGACCTTTCTCACTTTCTTCTTCTTCGGATTCTTCCCCGAGCATTGCTTCAAGTGATGGTACTTCCAAAAGCCGTTCTTTGGAATCTAGAGGTTGGATATCAGCGAAGAAGTTCATGGTATCCATCCATTTTACCAACTTATCACTTATTTCAATCACTGTTTTCTTGTAAACACATTTGGTGTTTCTTGAACGTATTTTAACAACTCTTTCATTACTCAAATAGTTAAGAAGCTCATTCGAAGTCATCATTTGTTGGAAATTGAGCATAAAAAGTGGCTCATTTTTGATATAATCAACTATTGCGTCAACAGTTTCCCTAATTTCGTTTTTGATCCATAACACTTCCCCTTTTTCTTTTTCTTCTTTTCTCTTCTGACACAACTTTTTCTTCTTCCTGATTTCTTTAATTTTCTGTCTTCGCAACTTCTTGAAGTAGTATCTCGCATCCCTGGGCTCCAAATTGTCCCCACTTTTTAAAATCTGGTCAAATCGAACCAACATTTCCGCCGGAAGAACATGTTGATAGTCCTTCCAGTTTTGCAAAACATATCTCTTGTTCGGAACCGACATTTGGATGATCCTCGGAGGACACGGCTCCACTTGACACTTGCAACAAACACTCGGTTTGTATTTCTTCTTCTTGCAAGGGGGCTTCTTTTGTCCGTAACTGTGCGGAATTGACAACATATCCATGTATTTGCTTTGCGGGAGGGCACTCCGGTCCAAAAGGGGCATCTTGGGGTCCAAATCATTGCTGTGACAAGGGGGCCGAAGACTGCACTTGCACAATTTGCTCTTTTTTTTCTTGTGGGGCCTCTGGGCGGCTCGACATAGCTCGAAGGGGACGTTTATGGGGGAGGGTTTGGGAGGTATGGGGGAGGTGTCGTCGGCTTGCTGCCAGACGCGGTAAGACCGYCCGAAAGTGAGCTCTTGTTGCAATGGGGGCTCCRGGTCGAGGTTCTCCACACAGAGTTCGCGTTCTTCGAAAGGGGGGCTCATGATACGGGAATTTTGTGACAAGAGTGACGTAAATGTCAAATCAATTGTTAATGAAACAAACTGATGCTTTATAATTCAAAATTGGCGCTCATTACTTTTCAGGTCATCCAATCAGATTGGTGAAAGCGGACCAATCACGTTGCCGCTCTCCACCTCGCGCACCAATCAAATCATTCCAGAATAATTCTACCAGAGTGTACCTGATGCGAGCGTTACTTCCACTCCCCTTTCTCAACTGTGCTTGTTTTCGATAGTAACGTGAAACACGTCCGTTTATTCCCTTGAATAAATTACCATCAAAAGGTGAGTAAATTATCACGTTAGCGTTCAAAACATGTGAAATTCGTTGATTTCCACCGTGAATAACATTTTTCGGGTGAAAATCGCGCATTTCTTGCACAATTTTCCGCGAAAAGTCGAAAATTTCACTTCCCCGATTTTCATTGTTGTGTTATGCGCGGCAGCCATGTTGTTGTCTTCGCGTGAGTCATTTTCGGGTCCGTGATCTAGCCACCTGGGKCCCGATTTTCCTCCCAACGTCACTTTTCGCCGTTTCCGGACCGGAAGTGGGCATTTTCCACACTTCCGCTCGGGAAATTGTCGATTTTGATGTACGAGTATTGATTTTTGGCGCGAATGCTATAAATATCGCTGTGTTGAAGTGAGACGGAATGGCTCGTACGAAGCAGACTGCTCGTAAATCCACCGGAGGGAAAGCCCCCCGTAAGCAGCTCGCGACCAAAGCGGCGAGGAAGTCGGCGCCGTCCACCGGGGGCGTCAAGAAGCCCCATCGTTACCGTCCCGGAACGGTCGCTCTCAGAGAAATCAGGAGATATCAGAAGTCCACCGAGTTGCTTATCAGAAAACTGCCTTTCCAGAGATTGGTCAGAGAAATCGCACAGGATTTCAAAACCGATTTGCGTTTCCAATCTGCTGCCATCGGAGCCCTCCAGGTAAGAGAAACTGGGGGTAACCTTGAGGGGTTTGAGATCAATGTACCAGGGATTTTTTGAAATTTTTTCATAGCCTTGTGTGAGAGACAAAGATAGCGATATGAGAGTCCATAAGATAAAGCGAGACAGAAAAACAAGTTGTATACAGGGGGTGGTCAGATTTAACTATATAAAAAATGAAATATTTTTCCTTTTTGTTCGTTTTAAGTTATATAAATCAATGCCAACTTTAAATTTTTATTTTTTATCAAATTCTTACTTACCAAA